AAAATTTAAATTACGTCTTTCATTTGGGCTTCTGGTGAGGCTGAGGAAAGAAAATCCCTTGCTGTGCATCTTCTAAATGTGTATACGTTAATTTTGTGGCTATCTTAAATGTTTTTAAATGTAAGCAGTTCCAGTATTATTTTCTCTGCGGAGGCTCCGTCGTATCAATCAGTCTCACCTCCACAGGCAATCGTTACCCTCTCAGTTCTGTCATCAAGTACTCAGCTTCGGCGGCTTGTGTTTGGGCCGAGGAAATTAAGTAGAGGATCCTCCCGACACAGTCCTTACCCGGGCACGAGAACCAGTATCATACCCAAGGTAGGGATACATAACAGCACATAACATATGTGTAAGTGATAACAAGGGGGGGGGGGGGAGGTGACTGTCAAATACGATCAATCGTCGCCTAGTTAGCATAACTAAAGAGGCTGAATTTATAAAGAGACGACATGTCAAAATTGGAACAATCGATTGTCTGTCAAAGTCATAGGAAAAGTCATTCCAATCGAGCAGAAGACCTGTCAAATGGATAAGATGTCACCTCTTTATAAATTCAGGCTCTTTAAGCATAACAGGTTCCAAACGACAACAAGCAACGATGGTTTGTTGATGTTTGAAGTCAAATTCACATATGGAAAATCCATGAGTGTAAGCAGGTGAGTCCCAGTGAATTTGTCGTCTCTTTCGTTCTCCGTCTGTTGAAATGGGTGACAGGGTTTGACGTCACACTCTTTCAACCATTTAAACAGCGGGAGAACGAAAGAGACGACAAATTCAATGGGCTTTACCTATTTACATCAGGGGTGATGCACATATTATGTCACGTTCTAAGGGGGAGGGGGGGGGGGGGTTATGATTTTGTGACACACAGTGCATTAGGTATAGGAAACACTAAAGAACCTAAATTTATAAAGAGACGACATGTCAAAATTGGAACAATCGATTGTCTGTCAAAGTCATAGGAAAAGTCATTCCAATCGAGCAGAAGACCTGTCAAATGGATAAGATGTCGTCTCTTTATAAATTCAGGCTTTTTAGGTAAAACGTCACGAGAGAGGGGAGGGGGGTAATTTTTCCGCAACTTAGCGTGACATAATAAATGGATCGCCCCTGATAAGAGTCCCGCCAAGAGAAAACACTGTTTGTGATTTATTTTTCGTCAGAGTAAACGGCAACCATATTTTTGCGTTAGCATTGGATGACTTTCATTCAGAAGTGAAAAATTTCATGTCGATAACGGAGCTTCTCGGAGACGAAAATAATTATAGAACATGAGAAATGTTCAAACAAGTGCTTGGTATAACGGTATAACTTATAAATACCACAATGTACTAATTAAAGCAAAGTAATGTTTTTCATCTAAAACTACTAAAATATTGTCAGTAATGAATGCAATACTTGAAGTTCACTTGGCTGTGGGAACAATAATGTTTATTTATTTTGCTTGTTTTGTACCCCGCTTGACAGTTCAATTGGTACTCCTGGATACACTCTTGACGGGACTCTTATTATACCATTGACTCTGATTTACATCTCATTGATGAATGATCAGTAGGCCGATTTGGCAGCATATTCCGCCCTTGAGTGATAAGTATGTACACTCTACAACATATGCATGCCCAATCTACGTAAAAAATCACGTAGCTGCTTCGATTGCTGCAACTTTAATGTTTACATGATTGTAGTAATATTAACATACCATGTCATGTTCACTGGCGCTGATGATGAATGTGACAACATTGTCTCGCCAAACTTGTATGTGCGGTAATGTGAATGTGTTTGAGCTAGCGGAAAATGAGTTTACGTGATTTACATGCATGAAGTTATTCAATATCAATGAAGTTTATATGAGGTCCGGGCCAACAGGCAGCTTTCTTGCGTTAGTAGCAAAAATATTGTAAACATTGCTGAGCCCTCAAGTGACGACGTCGCCTCGTTGGGCTAAACCCGTAGCCCCAAGGGGTAGGTCGCTTAGAACAGTGTGCCAGGCACAATGTTTTATACCGTTGCTCAATATGTTTCACAACAACGGAACATCAATTCATAACACAATTTGTGGCACACTTTTGACACTTGAACTTTTATAAGAAAAAATCTGGCAGCCCTGCTAAATGCTTTGTTGATGACGACCAGCTGGGTGGCAGCCCTATCTTGTTTGCCTGGCCTTGAAAAGAGTTAACATCGCTGCGGGCCCGCGAATCGTGGGCCCCACTGACAGCTCATAATTTGTAAACAAATAGAAGATTCAAGTCCGAATTTCAAAAAAGGCGTGACTGATATTTTAGATATTCTTAATATTTTTGCTTACATTTTGTGAAAAATAAACTTAGAACTCATAAAATATTATTTTCTGATTTTCTACCACGAAGTCAACCATTTATATGGCATAAAAGGGAAAATAATTTCATTTCATTTGATAAAAATAAGACACTTCAGTCACGCCATTTTTGCAGTTCACACTTGAATTGTGACGTTTCAGATGTTGGTTTCAAAAACATGGCGGCATATCACCCAGCTGATGACGACATGTTGTTTATTTTGTTTCGCAAAATTCGCGAATCTTGTTTTTTTTTATCAAATTAACAATGAAAAGTGGTCTATGAAAATTCAAGGTGACTACATATAGGTGTTCTAATGTGTCAAATTCATGATTCAGCCATGTTGGATTTTTGTATGGGACAGCGACCGAGTTTGTTTACAATTTGCTCTAAAACCGAAGGTCTAAAAAATTTGAACCTATGAAAAAAATGGTTCATATTTTTTTCTTATGAATTAACCACAGAGGAAAAAATATCCGCACAAATCTAGAGTTAGATGAAATGAACACGTGGAGTTTCCCCACTGTTTTGGTCATAATTACAGAAAATCAATCGAGTTCCACATATGTTATGTGACTTAAGGCAACTATTGTAAAACGGTCCACATTGGGGTCTACACTGATTGACGACAAACAAATAAATAAATGCAGGAACTGTAAATCTAGACTAACATTTGAAAAGGGCGTAATTCCAAAATGACCATATCGAGAAAATCGCTTCTGAATTTTGTTGACCTAAAAATTAATTCTATGTCACGACTTTCCATTTTCTGGTTGATTTTATAAGCATGACATATAGTTAATAGTGTAACCTATCATCATGCATCACTAAAAACTCAAAAAAAGTTTTCTTTGTCGTGAAATTGAGAAGAAAACATCATACGCCTTGATAATTTTATACATGTTGTTACCCCCCAGATCTTCCACCATTTGAACTGCCAACACTGGTGATACGCCGTGGAAGTACACCCTCGGGATTTTTTGTTTGTTGTTCCGCCTTGGTTCTTCGTTCGCAAATTTTGTGAGAGTGGAATTACGCCCGGAGATTTTTTGGTCTTCTTTTTGTTCGTTGTTTACACGTGAACTATCAATCGGATGCATTTCAAATGAATCGGGCGTGACTAGATACTACAGAATCAAAACATTTGGCATATTAAAACGATATAATTCGTAGTTCTGGTGCAAGGCGTAAAAACCAGATTCATGATAGAGTTGAAAGTTGGAAATACGCCATGTAAGAAGAAACGTTTTTGATGATTTGAAGTGATATTTTCTTCTATTTTTTCGTGTTTATCGAGTAGTTTGTGAACTATTCTCTCTATATGTGGCAAAATATGGTTTGCTTACATTTTGGCTCTTCCGCCCCTTTCAAATGTTAGTCTAGAAATAAAGTGATTTGAAAATTCAGAAATCCTTAAGGTATTAGTACACGAGACCTGAGTGGTGCGGAGAAACACGAAATGGTTGTCAAAAAGAATCCAACTGGTGCTGTCAAAAAGAATCCAACGATCTAGAGCTGCTAAAAGTGATACTTTTATCATACAATCCCCGTCGGCAGAGAAAGTATTGTGGTCAATGTTGAAAATATTGTCATTTCGGCATTTTTTTACTAATATTCTTCAACAAAAAACTTGCTCAAATACTCGGATGTAAACAATGTAACGAACGAACGAACCTGCACGAACTGCTGAAGGAAGAATGCAAACAAACTTTATAAGAGTCATGTGTGTAGGTGCACTCCCAACACCATGTACACGTTATTTATGGAGCAAAGGGTGAACTTTCGACAGCATGTATATGCAAATTGTGAGCAGTGCATTAGCAAAACAATTTGTGATATCGGAAAATTTTCAAGTTGTTTCGTGCTGACTTGCAAAACAAAAACGGCTGTGTTCGCAGTATCCAGCACGAGACAAATATTTGTCTTAATTTGACAGATACATTAAATGTATCTGTCAAATTAAGACAAATATTTGTCTCGTGCTGTCTCGTGTACTATTATACCTTTACATCAAATGTGATGCCTAATTATTATAATATTTTCGATTTTCAATGCATCAACACAAAATAATGTTTTGCATTATTTTTTTTGGTGACTTCAATTTGGACTGAACTTTCTGTAATGTTTCATAGGAGTACCATTCAGGATTTATTTTAAAAATTATAGGGCGGTACTTTTACCCAATATGGCACACTTGCCCTAGTTCCACTACTTTCCTTTGATTTCTCTGCGGCCTCCGGGATCATCACGTCGAATGCCATCACTTCTTCATCGAGCGCACACGCATTAAAACAAATGTTTCCTCTATACCAGTTAGTATGGTTAGTTAGGTTAGCAGAAGTGAATCGAAGTTATTGTTTATAAAAGCAGTTTCTCCCTAATGAAATGATTGCATCGATATGTCTTAACAAATCCAAAAACGGTAATTTTGAATGGCCGTGGTACAAATTCACTGGGGTGTGAAATGCGATGAAAAAATGTTGTGTTCTAATCATACCACACCCCTGCCAATTGAGATTTGACAGCAGCTGTCTTGTTCTGTGTTGTTAAAAACTCATCGCACGACGTCCGTGCGTCAGTCGGTGTTTGTTTGTTTTTTGTACGTGCGGTTGATGTGTCTGTGCGCTGCACGATCATTATCTTTTCGTGTAGTCGTCTGTTCACTTCACTTGCTGGAACTGGTCGCGAATCGCGATTTCCATTCATTTCGTGTCTTGATCTCGGCTTAGCCACTACGCGGCTACTTTTCTCTCGTATCTACTACGAACTGTAATTACATTGTGCAATTAGACTCCATTGCCCGTCGTCCACTGTAAGTCGGTCGAGTGGTGTAGTTCGGTTGTTGTGATTGTGCGGCCTAATTCCGTGCGTTTACAGACCAGTGATAACGTAGTGTAATCATCCGAGACGAAATTGAACAACAGTAACAAAATGGGTGTACCGAAGGTCTACGTCGTCGGGGTCGGAATGACCAAAGTAAGTTTCAATTTTTTTTTTCGTTGCTTCATACCATTTTCTCGTGCAACGCAGCGCACTTCATGACTATAATGTTGTTGAGAATACAGCAGGTTATATGAATGGTAATTGTATAATGATGAAACACTACGTATGCGAAAAGCGAAGGTTTTTTAGGGGAGAGTGAAGACGAGCGAGCTCTGTTGGGTTTCCTTGCATTCTTCCAAATTTAGTTAGATACTTGAAAAACATTGCATGGAGGTCACGAATTACCTCAACTCTCTGACATAACATCTCGTGCATCATTGAGATGCTGTATACCAATCTGCTAAGTCATTAAGTCAGGTGAAACTACTGCTTTAACCACTTAAACTAGTTTACGACACTTACCTAGAATCGGTATGAGAACACTCAAGTGTTCAATTCTATTGAACTCAACCTTTGAACCCGGCTATTATCTCGTGTGCTTGATCTGTGCTTCCCGCCTTGTATATACACGTAAGCTCACACTACAGATCCAAATCACTGTTAATCACTTTGAAACTTCTTTCATTCAATGAACAATTCCACTTCCGAACTAACGATCGTTCAACAACCCGCTCGCGACTCCAGTAGACTAACTAACTGAGTGGCTACTACTGACGATGGTAAACTCTTCAGAACAAGTCCGTCACTAGTAAATAAAAAAACAATAATTAAAGCCAAATGACCTTTCATCTTCTTTGTCCATAAATAATATCGAATGTGACGCGCGCTGATGGCTGCGAACTTGGGAGAGAAACGACGAACATCAGCAACCGGCCACTGACTTGGCCACAATTAGCATACCAACTTGCTTTGCTTTAGCGATCGAAGGGGGTTGCTCTTATTGTTTTTCATTTGTATCGGATATTCGATACTACGAATCGAAGCCGATTGTATGCGTTTCTATGGGGAATACGGTGTTAGCGAGCGTGCTTCCGACACCTGAGGTTTCTCCATACAATACTCACTGGAAGCAGAACCCATTGGTAGTAAGTATGAATGTACAAGTCATAGCTGCTTAAACAGGGGAAGCGCGGTCGCAGAGTCCATCAAGCGATTACGTTTCACCTTACCAACTACAACTAGTGAAGAGACACACTACAAAATGCTTCAAACCGGTAAAGTTATGTAACGGGCAATATGGGTGGCTTCGAAGGAGAACGGAACCACACGTGTTTTATGAGGGAAGATATTGTGCCGTGTCAGTGATGTTCAATTTTGGTGACTTGGAATTCAAATCAATCATGATGGGCAGAGGGAAAAAAAACTCGTTAAACTGCTTACTAATAAATGACCGACTCAGTGGTGTGACGTAGTTGTGGTCATTACTTTTAATAAATCAGATGCCAGTATGATTGTAAACTTCAAGGTTTTGCAGTCTTCCGCGTTTTTGTTTGCTATGTGGTGAATTTTGGTTGTACACTGCCGTTCAATCTTACCCAGTGACTGAGTAAATTTGTATTGCTATCTCTCTTTTTTCTTAGGGAAATTTACTCAGTTTTCATATATTCAAAATAACTGGGGTTACTCAAAGCTATGAATAGCAATACAAATTTCTTATTCAATACTCAGGACTAACGTTCATCTTAAAACACCTCTGAAGTGGTCAGTTTGCCTTGCAATCGAATCATAAAATGGATGGAAATTAATATTTGGTCGGAGATCTCTTTTGGAAACTGGCACTGGTTGAGAGACTACAAGAGGTCGGTCTGGACTTCAAAGGCTGAGGCTGGTCTTATTTCTAAATGTCTTGAGCAGGGCTGACAGGCTGTGTTTGAACCGGAAAAAAAGCCGGAAATTCGAATTCACCGGGAAAAACCCTTGAATTTCACTGACAAATCCGGAAAAATATACTTCGTCCTCTCTTCAAAAATAAAAAAAAGATTTTGGACTTTGAAAAAAAAAAATTCAAGCGACTTGGGCTGGACAAGATTTTCGGGGTATAGTCGCTAAGCGTGACTGCTATTCACTGCATGGGTTCAATCACAGCCGAGGTCGGTGGGATTATTCTGAGTCATAAAAATCCCAGGTCACGTCTTCCTTCGGAAGGGAAGTAAAGTCTGGTCAACTTAGAATCTGGACACGTAAAACCAGGTGTTTCTCGGGATTAAATTGACGTGCAAAATGCAATTTAGTTCAAATGAAGTTATTTTATTGTACTTTCATAAAAAAAAATTACAAAATTACTCCGTTCGGATGAACTAGCGGACTTTCTTTGGAATACCTGCCATTATCTACCACACACTGATCTGGTCATCAGCAGCTATTTTTTCAGTTTCCGGGCGAATCGACGAAAACAAACTTGAAATTGCTGGGGATAGCACCCCGTGCTGTGGCCAGATAGAACTTGTGTCCGGGAACCTGCCTGAAATCCTTCTTAACATAGATTTCTTCGTCCTCTCGGTCATACAACTTCCGGGTACGTGTTCTAGCTACTAAATTCTGCTTCATCGATCTGTTCGGTTGCTTGGAGGCACGGAATGAACGGTAACCTACTCACAGGCGAATCCTCCGGACGGTACTATGGCTGGCACCAGTGCTGAGATTTGTCATTGTCATTGATAGACTTTCGCGCGATATTGACAAAATTGTTTATCACGTAGTCACTGATAAAATTGATTCTCAAAAAAACCTTTGTCAAAATCTCATTCATTTTTTCGTCATGACAAAGATTCACCTGGCAACAAAACGTTTAATTTCGTGCATTCTGTGTCCCATTATCCAAGCAGTTCAGGACGTAGATGCTTGTTGGAACTGAATAATAAACAAATTCGCTATAAGCTTACCCATGATATCCTCTAGACAAGTCCTTGAGTATCCTATCTTGCCCCGAAAACACTTAGGACTTACCCCCTGGAAATTATCTGGTCTTAGTATGTCTAAATGTGAAGTATAAGCAACAATCAATTCGAAACTAACGATTTTAAATTGGCTCACTACTTGACTAGCCTATTGGTCCCAAGCAAACGATTAACGTACCCCATTCTAGTCGAAATTCTAGTACTACGCAATTTTTGTTTTGATTCGCTATGAAAGTCTGACAGATAAAATTAGGGGTTCGTGGATTTTCCAATGTTTCGAGGGGTGAATCGATTAGCTTGGGACCGAAAAGAGTACCAGAGCTGAGCCAAAAAGTTGAGCTCGTTTCTTCGGGACCTTCTGGTCTTAGAGTTACCTCTATGGTATAAGCACTGTAAGCCTTCTGACTTCTCCCTTAACACCCATGGAAATTCATAGACTTGTCCGGAAGATCCTATGAGCTTGCTTGGAATCCTCTCAGTTTTTACTAGATCCAAAACCGTGGAGTTCGTTTAGACTTGTCCTAGAGGCCAAGAATAGTTCTCTGGACTATGTCTACGGGGTCTACGATGCTTGTCACAGTACTAGAGATAAATAAACATGTTTTGACAATGAAACCCATGTTGAATTCTGGAATTGTCGATTTACAACAATCAATCTGTAAATCCAAAGAAATAATATTTCAAATTACTAAAAATTTCTAGACATCAAACTTTTTTTGCCGGCGTTTAAATTAATCGTTAAATGTGTGTTCGGTGAAGAACAGGCGAGTCTGAAATCAGTTTGTCTATTGATCTTTCTTTGACGACTCTTGAATAACAAAAATAGCTTCTGAATTGAATGGTTTGAAATCCAGCAAATATGTCAGGTGCCTTTAACTTTTAATCTTGCTTTCAACCAAAAAACAAACCAAAGGCTTCATGACTGAGCCATTTTCTCCGCCTAGTATAGATATCATACGCCATATCACCGCTGCACAAACAATTAAATTCATCACTTTTTATAACCATCCTCCAAGATAAAGCGCTTGAACTTTCATCCATTCGACGGCTTTATCTGCGATGATTTGCTATTTCTGTCTTATCAGGCCAAGCTTGTTTTGACCCGATCAAGCACGTACCAAGCAAATAATGGTTTGCTCCATTCTGCATAACGGCAAACACAAAATCGAACAACAACTAACAGCTCTCACTATGTTGATTCCTAAAATCCAAAGTTCGAGAAACCCGGCCGCCGGGAGAACTTTGACTATCCACAGATGGCCAAGGAAGCCGTCACGAAGGCACTGAAGGATGCCCGGATCCAGTACCAGGACGTCCAGCAGGCCACCGTCGGTTACGTGTACGGGGATTCGACCTGCGGACAGCGCGCGCTGTACGAGATCGGATTCACCGGTATTCCGATCTACAACGTCAACAACAACTGCTCGACGGGTTCGACAGCTCTGCTGCTGGCCAAGCAGCTGATCGAAACCGGAAACAACGATTGTGTCTTAGCGCTTGGGTTCGAGAAGATGGAGCGCGGTTCGCTGACGTCCAAGTATATGGATCGTACCAATCCCGTTGAGCTGTTGGTGACTGCCATGGCGGAGAAGCATGACATTACGGGGGCTCCCATCTCGGCACAGTTGTTCGGCAATGCCGGAGTGGAACATATGAAGAAGTACGGTACAAAGCCGGAACATTTCGCCAAGATTGCTTACAAAAATCACAAACATTCCACCAACAACCCGTAAGTGGTATTCATTTAAGGTTTTCGATCTAGATCGGTGGCGCTGTGGTTGCCTACATTTAGGCGTACATTATGTTTCTTGCAGCTATTCGCAGTTCCAAGATGAGTATTCGTTCGACCAGATCGTCAAGTCGACACAGGTGCATGAATTCCTCACGAAGCTACAGTGCTGTCCCACGAGTGACGGATCCGCGTGCTGTATCGTCGCTTCAGAAAGTTTCGTGAAACGGCACGGTTTGGAGTCGCAAGCTGTGGAGATTGTTGCTATGGAAATGTCGACCGATCTGCCGTCGTCATTCGGTGTAAGTTTTCTCTAGATTCTTGTTTAGGGAACGTGCAATTCAACAATCTGATAATTTTAGGAGGGAAGTGCAATGAAGATTGTTGGTTACGACATGACCCGTAACGCAGCCGAGAAGGTCTTTGCCAAGACGAACTACAAACCACTGGACGTTGATGTGGTGGAATTGCATGATTGCTTCTCTGCGAACGAGTTGATCACTTATGAGGCCCTAGGTCTGTGCCAACCGGGCAAAGCTGCGGAATTCATCGACCGCGGGGACAATACCTATGGAGGTCGTGTTGTTGTAAATCCAAGTGGGGGGTTGATTTCCAAGGGACATCCTCTGGGTGCTACTGGGCTGGCCCAGTGTAGCGAACTATGCTGGCAGCTGCGAGGCCAGGCCGATAAGCGACAGGTTAAGGGAGCCAAATTGGCCCTGCAACACAACATTGGGCTGGGTGGTGCTGCTGTAGTGGGTCTGTATCGACTAGGTTTCCCGTACGCCAAAAATCCAATCAACATGAATTTGACGGCGGCGGGTAAGATCAAGGATACGCCTGAAGGTTTCCTAGTCGCCCCGTACATGAAACTACTCGAGGAGGCGATGGCTGATGATAAGGAAAACTTGATCGAAAAGGTGCGTGGAATCTACGGCTTCAAGGTCACCAACGGACCCGATGGAGCTGAGGGATACTGGGTCATCAATGCCAAGACCGGAAAGGGCTTGGTTACTTACAAGGGAACGGGTAAGGATACACTGTTTGAACAAACCACATTTCGACTGTTATCGTATTATTATTTTTTAGATAAACCCGACGTAACCTTCATCATCAACGACATCGATGTGGTGGATCTAATTTCCGGCAAGTTGAACCCGCAAAAGGCCTTCTTCCAGGGTAAGGTGAAAGTGCAAGGCAACATGGGCCTGGCCATGAAGTTGGTGGATCTACAGAAGCGTGCAAATTCCCGCATCGAGGAACTCCGGGCAAAACTGTAAACTAGTTTTGGTTGTTAGTATATCAGTAAAAAATTAAAAGATGATGAAATGCAACATGTATTTTTCCATTTATTTTGGTTCCGTCGTGGCATTTTTAAAATGTGGTGATTTTTGTACACTAGCTACAGATATTTTTTTTAATAAATTTTTTTATAACACCGGTGATAGTTGACTACTATACGAAACGTTGTTTTATTGAATCCGAAAACTTACACGGTAAAAAAAAATATTCTGCTTAATCTTTCTTAATGAACATGTGCATTAGAGGTACATTTGACAGCTATCTTAACACTAATATTACAGTCTACAACGTTTCGATATATTCGAACAAGGGTTTTTACCCTAGTTGGTTTTGACTTTCGGCTCACTGAAAGCGGAAACACCCCGACAACAAATACGCTTGATCAACCAGAACCAGCACAGGTGGTACACAAAGTTGAACGCGTGCAAAGCAAAGTTCACATCCAGCATATGGTACACGTACCACGGCAGTTCGGTTGAGTAGGATTTGGCCAGCGGAAGGCCTCCGGTGGCTACCACGTGCTCGCACCACCAGACCGCCGTCTGGACCGGGCTCATCGGTCGGTTACGGTAGGAGAATGAAACCTGCTTGGCATTCTCCATCGTAGCCGGCTCGAGGGCCTTCTTCAGCGATTCGAACACCGTATCGCGGGTGATTTGTTCGTACGGCAGAACGACACCCATTCCTCGGTGTGCCAGGGCGGCAGCGTTATTGTACTGGAAAGGTAAATGGCGTAGATTAGGCATGCAATTATAGACTTCTTGTCATTTCCCATCATACCTGATCTCCATACATGGGAGTGGCGACCACCGGAACGCCACAGTAGGCAGTTTCGGAACTTCCTAGCAGTCCACCGTGGCTCATGAAGACACGAACCTTTGGATGACCTGTGATAGGAATAAGATGGAAATACGTGCAATAATTAGTATGTATGTCACGAGAAAATAACGCCCATTACTCACTAAACGGACGTGACTAATTCAAAATATGAATTCCGTTGAATAATCATGTACATACTATACTCATTATAGTTTAAAACAAACATCTGAAGATGGGTGGAGAATCAAGATGATCATACATATTTGTAATAATTAATAGTAGAGGTATGCGGTATGAAAACCCGAATTGTTGGGCTCAAGTCTATGAAAACTCTAAGAATTTTGATTTTTCCAGCTTATTGGAAACGTGTGCTTCTCTCTATGAATTCAAGTTTTTGACTTTTTACTTCAGAATTGTCCGTAATCATACATTTAGTTCTAACCTATGTTTGTCTAATCGAAACCAGTACCAGGTGTTGAGTACTTGGCACTGATGAAGCCTGCAAGTAGTAGACGAAATACGCGTATCTGTCAAAAGATAAGCAATTATAACGGAATTTAAAGGAAATAAACCAACCCACTCAAGCTCTTCATAAAGGGATTCCGTTAAGAGGTTCGACAAATTTAAAGGATTGATGATTGCACTAGGTTTGTGCCCAAATTGAACGTTTTAAAATTATTTGATTTCTTTTTCCTGATGATGGTCACATATAGCAATAACTGGAAAACAACTTTCGACCTGATTTCTGGCGACCAATTTTCATCTCACTCTTCGACAATGGCTGAAGCCATCCACAATTTTGAGTGGATCTATGAACGCTCTATGCGCTCATCTGATGCTCTGAAGCCACCCACATCCACCAGCACAAGGGTGGGTTAACTTAACAACCCCCTACTCGCCACAGCTATGCAAAATTTGATCGAATTTGGGTAAGAGCTGGATATGCGGGAGATCTCTAAAGTTTGTATTGGAAATAGAACAAAACTGTTCCTGATACCTGTCAAAAATTCAAAAATTGCTCAATTTTGCACAAACCTCGGATATAGATAAAATACACTGAGTGGAACAACTTTGTCGAAAGCTGATTATTATTTGACTTTAGACCAAGTGCTCCGCACATACCTACAAACTCATATATACGCCTGTAGGTATGCGCGGAACACTTGACCTAAAGTAAAATAATAATAACTTTTTGCCCAGAAGTCAAATCGATTTACGATTTTGGACAAAGTTGTTCTGCATAGTATTACGTAGTTTTACCAATCTAAGTTCAAGGTTTGGTCATATTTGAGCCATTTTTGATGTTTTCATTCCGTTTCCCATACAAAATTTAAAATTCTTCTACAAATGGAAATCTTCATTAAATGAATATACAGTTACTACTTCCTAATTCGATATTGAAGCGACCATGGAGTTAAGGAGCGGAGGATATCGGGTTAGGGAGGTAAATTTGGGAAAGGTGTATGGGTAGAGTGGTCCAAGTAGCCTGGAGTTCCATCGAGTTAGGGAGATTTTCGGCCATTTTGAATCTTGTAAAATTTTCGAAATGGCGGCTTCGAAATTTTTCCAAGGTGAAAATAGCATATGAAAAATTGTCCCTCCCAATTATGCAAAGGGGAGACCAAGGTAAAAATATCATATCAAGAGCCACATGTGAAAAAGGCATTCAAGCTTTTTGTAAACAAACCTTTGTAGGCCCTTTTCTCACCAACCAACATCATCGGGAAGGGGAAAGTTTCCCCAACCCGGTGATGTTGATTGTTTGCGTTGGTGTCATATGGGTAGCGAGAAAAGAGCTTAAGTAGGTTTGTTTACAAAAAGCTTGTATGCCCTTTTCACATGTTGTTCTTCATAAGAAAAATATTCACCTACTATTATCCAAAGGGGAACAATTGAGGTTCGCACTCACAAGCAGTGTTCGGAAAATCATTCTTAAATCTCATTCATTGAGCCTCCCTTCAAGAATAAACTCGCGTGCGAATGCGGCAAACAAAATTCACGCTTGAGATTATCATGCATATTCACGCACTCACACTCACAACGCCGAAAAATCATTCCAGCTTTAAACTCATAAAAACCACTCAAACGTCAATTGATATTATGCCTATGCATGTTGTGTTAGTGTTCCAACCCCTGATGCGCAAACAATAGTAATAACAACGAATAACGCCAAAATATAAAGCAATGAATTTTTGAACCTGAAAACTCATCGGTGATTTTTGCGACGTTGAATTATGCAAGGCAAAACTCATAGGCGCATAAACTCATGCATGAGATTTGAGTTTTTGAGTTTTTCCGAACACTGCTCACAAGGAGTTGGGTTTCGCACTTAACCATTAAGGCTGTGAAGCATTTGCCGAGTTAAATTTAACTTGTGGTTAAAAGTGACATTTCAAAAGTTATTCTGTATGTTTGAAGCGGCCTTCAGCAAATTGATCATATGTATTTTGAATCTGCTATTATCAACGTCGACCGATAACAGGCTGCACTAGATTCGGATGAAAATAGCTTACAAAGGATTGGCACTAAGAAGTAGGAATTACATTGGATAACTATGGATGGTTATCCAATGTAAACCACCTTTTTCTATCTTTAGGCGCTTGTGAAGAAAAAACAATTGGCAGAAGCAAGGGAGTTGAGAGCACGGATGAAAGCGAAAGCTAAACTCAAGTCACCTCCAAGGAAAAGTAAGAAGAACTCATAAACAATGTCCTTCTTAATATATTAATGTAACAAATAAATTATTAAATGGTTCTCGGCTCCGTGGAGTTCTTTTGGACATTTGAGCCTAACAAATAAACTTAAATAAATAAACGGTTTTCTTGCCGATGATTATTATAACACCCTTGTAACATGTTATAACCATAGAAGAGGTAACTCTAAGACTAGTAGCAACAATCAATACGAAACTAACGATTTTAAATTGGCTCACCACTTTAGTAGCCTATTGGTCCCAAGCAAACGATTAACGTACCCTATTCTAGTTGAAATTCTATATCTACACTATGTTGGTTTTGATGGTTTTGATTCGCTATGAAAGTTTGACAGATAACATCAGGGGTGTGTGGATTCATGCAGAACATGCAGGGGTGAGTGAAATAGCTTGGGACTGCTTGGGACCGTTGTTCTGGTACTGAGTGAGCCAAAAATAATAATGATTTTCTTCGGGACCCAGTGGTCTTAGAGCTACCTCTATGCTAGTAGGTCCCGAAGAAACGTGCTCAGCTTTTTGGCTCAGCTCTGGTACTATCTTCGGTCTCAAGCTAATCGATTCACCCCTCGAAACCTAGGAAAATCCACAAACCCCTAATTTTATCTGTCAAACTTTCATACCGAATCAAAACAAACATAGTGAAGTACTAGAATTTCGACTAGAATGGGGTACGTAATCGATTTGCTTGGGACCAATACGCTAGTCAAGTAGTGAGCCAATTTAAAATCGTTAGTTTCGTATTGATTGTTGTTATAACTCCATAGTGCCATCATAGCATTGAGGGAAAAAGTCGTGTGTGATGTCAATAAAAATGGGCCAGATACCCGAGCAAAGTCGATTAACAAAATGAAAGCAAATCGATATTAAAGTTTGCAGATCCTATCATAATAAAAACTCATTTTGATTTCCATTGAAATAAGTGTGCTATCATATTGTCTTTCATTGTGCAGTCAAGATTCTTTACATGAAAGCAACTTAACTTGAAGTTCTGCTGTTACCGTCTTGTTTAAAATTTAATTTAAGTTCATCTGTGGTTGAACTAACGATTACTGTTTAGGTCAATCGTGACATGCCCGGGTCACGGAGATTTAGACTGAAGACTTTCAGCGTGAGAAGTATAGATGCTAACCATTTACGCCAGGCCCGTATTCAGTTAATCACTGTGAATGCAAAATCAGTCATCAAATCGATTTCATTGAAAGTTAGTTTTCCGTTTGATGACTCAACAGTACAATTTTGCTCTCATTTTTGTTGTGTTAAGTTAAATCAACCAAAATGAGATCAATTGGAGTTTTCAAAATAAGTTACGCCATAACAGAAAAAAATAATATCAATTTGATCTTCAGTTTTGCTACTCAATCTGAATAAAAATGGATTATATCCAGAAATTCACCAAATAAAAAAAAATCTCAAGCTTCAAAAACTTTCTCATTCCACTATTATGGCACCTTGTGGAATAAGATTTAGAAGTTAGAGCAAAATGACAGTAGATAATTGTAAACCATGTAAATTATACGATCAGATTAAACCATAATAAAAACCATATATAGCTGTCTAATAATAATAATAATAATAATTAAAAAAATTATTAACCATGATCAAAATTCTTGTCACACCTAAC